CCTCCAAACCTCCCCCCCCCCCCCAACCCCCCCGAGCAAAAAAAAGGGTATAAACATTTAACAATCATACCCTAACATAAGCTAACTAACTTTAGCATCCTAACTCCTTTTGTGCTTTAACTCCCCTTTTGTAAAGCTAACTTTAGATAAGTTGCAACATTCCTTGTTCGTTCATTCATAAGCTAATTGAAATTTCTTAGTCTGATTATTTATTTTGAATGTAGTCAATCCATCTTCTCCACTCCAGCTTGCATTTCTCATCTGAATGGTCCTTCAAATATGCTGAGCGTCCAATCTCTTCTTGAAAACCTCCAGTGACGAAGCGGCCGTAAAGCGGAAACCCGTTTCACTGGTTGATTGTCCCCACTGATAGGAAATTCCTCCTTAGTTCTAAGTTGCTTCTCTCCTTGATTAGTTTCCACCCATTGCTTCTTGTTCTACCCTCAGGTGCTTTGGAGAATAGCTTGACCTCCCCCCCTTCTTTGGTGCAGCCCACCAAGTTTCTGTAATGGCAACCATGTCGTATCTGCCCTCATTTACTCGAATTTCTAATTCACCCCGTTTATTCCCCATACTCATGTGCATTGGCGAACTCTTCCAAATTGAATCGTTTTCTCCAGCGAATTCCCCCGCCTGACTTGGCTGAAAGAACTGAGATGCAGCAAGATGCTTTTTTCGTTTTAATTTTAATTATTTTCTAGCAGACAAGCTGAACAAAGAACTCCCCCGGGTTTAAGTTAGTGTTCCATACTTCCTGCAATAAACTTTATTTTAAGGAGCAGCTTTGGTAAAAGGAGGGGATAAAAAAAAAAACAACAACATCCAAGGACAATTAAAAAAACAACAACGAACCCAGAAACCCAAAATATATACTACGATCACAGGTGATTGGCAGATCAATATATATATCACCAAAGGGGAGGGGGAGGGAAAATGAGGGGGTGGAAATATTTCACCAAGTCGTCGTTTTTTTCAGTGCTTTAGAAAACAAAACAAAACAAAAGTGTGATCCATCTTCACCCTGTCTTTTCAAGTCTGTGCAGGCTTCAGAAGAGGCTGTCTTGCTAGAGGAACCAAGAATCCGTTCTACATTATCTGTAGACCCTGAATGGAGGACTCCAAAGTCTAGAGGGGTGGGAGGGGGGGGGAAGAAAAGAAGTAAAGAAGCAGGTTAATTCACCGTGACAACCGAAGCCAACCACAGCTCTACGGAAATCTAGGAGGCCATACAGATGGTCCTCGACTTTACGACCGCCAGCGAGCCCCAGAGTTTGTGTTGCTGAGCGAAGCATCTATTGAGTTTTCGCCCCACTGAAGCGGGTTTAGCTCATTTTGTGGGAGCGTCCAGATTCTAGGCTAATTCCTCTCTTGACTCCACCCTCTCTCTCCTTCTCCTACACAATTAACAGAGGAGCTGGCAAACATTACATCAACCATAGGATTGGCTGGTATAATCCATCAAAGAGAAGCCGTGTGTGCGTGTGTGTGTGTGTGTCAAACGTACCTTGAAGTCCCAGATGGTCATGGCTCCGTCAATGCCAGTGGTGCAAAACTTGCGACAATCTTGCTTGTCCACTTCATAAATAGACACTTGACTAGACAAAAAATTGGAAATCGGTGCAAGAAATTACAGGAGAACAGATAAAATACAAACCCGAAATCTTTCTGCTGGGAATAATCAAAGGGAAATATACAAAGAAAATTAAGTACATATTAACACAGCTAGAATAGCATTTGCTCAATTGCTGGAAACAAAATAATATCCCCTCGGACGAATTAGTGATACAAAAATTTTTGGATTGTGCAGAGATGGACAAGTGAACACTAAAATTAAAAGATAAAGAAGAGTCGGAATATTATGAAATTTGGAACATTTGGTAAAAATGGCTGCAAAACAAGAATAAAATTAATTAAGCTGAAAAACTATAGAGATAGATAGATAGATAGATAGATAGATAGATAGATTAAATATAGACATATATATATATG